CAACAAGTGGAAAGGTAAAACATCTGTTAGTAACTGCCCCTGTCGCAGCTTTACCTTCCTTAAGCAGAGAGGGAGCTGAGGTAGGCCGTCATGGGAACCCCACACCCCTTACGCACCCCATGTCCCCGAGGTGGGGAGGGCCCAAACCAGGGGCACCAGGATGGCCTCAGGGTGAAACACAGGCTTCCCGCACCGCAGCAGAGCCCAGCATGCGTGTGGACACTGGGCGTGGCCCCTACAGAGCCACAGCCCTGCCTACGTCCTCGGCACTGCTGTTTCTCGATGACTTCCTAATAATAGAAAGTCCGAGGCCAAGCCCCACTGACGGCTGACCCAGGGCATCTCCCAAGAGGCCGGGGAATTACAGACCCTCTGTGTGTCTCAACCGTGGCCAGGCAGTGCCCCCGGGTCACACTGCACCGCAGACCCTGACCCTCATAGGTCTCCAGGGCAGACGCAGCCACTGCCCAACGTGGGGCACCAAGGCCACCACTGCCCCCACCTCCCTGTCCTCCGGGGCCCAGGGCTTGGCATCCAGCACTCAGAGGTTGGGGCTGCCGGGACCAGGGCCCTTGGTGCTGTCTCAGGAACCTCAGGTACAGCCCTCCTACCATGGACAGGTCATTCTGCATCCCAGTGCCAGTGAAAGACGTGGAGTCCCCAAGGGGGGGCACCTGTGGGTCAGGGTCTGGGCATGGGGACGCCCACTGGGCACCATGCTCGGGAGTGCACCAGGACGCCTGGAGGAAGCACAGGGCAGGGGACGCTTCCCAGACAGCTGAGTGGGTCCCTCACCCCGTCCCAGCTGTGCCTCCCAGAGGCAGGATTCATCTCACAGGGTAAAGGGGCAGCAGCACACCATCCTCCCACAACACGGCTGCCACGATGGAAGCTGCCATGGGGATGGCCACGTAGTGCCCGTCCCCACTGGCAGTGCCCACCCCTCACCAAGAGCCATTGTGTGGGGAGACACCGACTGGAGCTGGACCGCCACTGTGGCTCAGGGGCCCAGGAGTGCAGGAGACACTGACCGGAACCGGACCACCACTGTGCATCAGAGGCCCAGGACTGCTCAACATCATTCACTTTTGATCTTGAGCCGACCCAAGAGAGTTCAAACAGGCGCAGGAACCCTCAGGGTGCACCCGACTGGCTGCACCTCACCCAGGGCCCAGCCGAGGAAAGGGGCTGAGCAGATGCTCATGGGGTCACCCCACCAGGAAGCACGGGACCTGGCAGAGCCCACCAGAAGTGACAGCTAAATGTCACGTGGCCTCCTGGGTGGGATTCTGGGGCAAGACCCAGTCCCAGGTGGGGCCAAAAGTGACACATGACGTTCACCACATGGCAAGGCCCCGGGCCCGGGAGCTCTCTGTGCTACCCTTGCAACTTTTCTGGGAACCTAAAATCTTCAAGGTGTACAAGTTGAAACACAAGACCTGAACCTGATGTCTTCACATGTCAATTCACAAAACATTAAGAAGAATCAGCAGCACTCTTCAAACTCTTGGACAAACTGAGGAACATTTCCTCACTCGTCCTAGGAGGCCAGCATTACCCTGATATCAAACCCAGACAAAGACATCACAAGAAAAATGACACGCCAATATCCCTGATGAGCATCACTGGGAAAGTCCTCAGTGAAATGCCAGCAGAGTGAATTCAGCAGTATAGTTAAAGGACTCTATACCACGAACAAGGATTTATTCCTGGAATGCAAGGAGAGTTCAACATATGAAAATCAATCAATATTAGCAGAGTGGAGGAAGGAAATCACGTGACCATCTCAACTGATACAGGAAAAGCATTTGACAAAATTCAACACACTTTTATGATTAAAAAAAAAAAATTCAACTGGTTGGACACAGTGGCTCATGCCTGTAATCCCAGCAAGCTGGGAGGCTGACATGGGCGAATCTTGGAAACTCCTGACCTCAAGTGATCCTCTCTCCTCGGCCTCCCCATGTGCTGGGATTACAGGTGTGAGCCACTGCACATGATGCAAATTATTCTTAGTTTTTAAGACAGGGTCTCGCTCTGTAACCCGGGCTGGAGTGCAGTGGCACAATCACAGCTCAATGCAGACTTGACCTCCTGGACTCAAGTGATCCTCCCACCTCAGCCTCCCAAGCAGCTGGCATTACAGGGGTGCACCACTAGGTCCGGCTAATTTTTTTTATTTTTTGTAGAGACGGGGTCTCCCCTTGCTTTCCAGGCTGGTCCTGAACTCCGGGCTTCAAATAATCTGGCCGACTTGACCTCCCCAAATACTGTGAATACAAGTGTCAGCCACCACCACGCCCGGCCTCTGCTTGCTTTGTTGTGGAAACAGACCTGCTCCCAAGTGGGGACGGCCTGGAACACAGACCTCAGCTGACCCACAAGGATGGGGTTTGAGATCTGGGGCTCCTTGTCACAGCGGCATAATCCAGCCTGTACTAATACAGGCCCTGTAGACCCCGGCTCCAATGTTCAAATCAAGGTACTTGGCTACCTCGTCAAGCTGTCACACTTTCACTCTAAAGCACTGCCAAACCGAGGGACCAGGTTGTCACACAGTCTCTGCAGACCCCAGAGGTGGTGATACCTGTGCATGGCCATGGCGCCTGCCACCCCACAGACCTGGTTTTGCTTTTCCAGCAACCCCCAAAGATCAAAGTTTTCCTTTATTTTGAGATGGAGTCTCAGTCTTTGGCCAGGCTGGAGTGCAGTGGTGCACTCTCAGCTCAATACAACCTCCAACTCTCTGGGTCAAGTGATTCTCCTGCCTCAGCCTCCTGAGTGGCTGGGTTTACAGGCATGTGCCACCAAGCCCAGCTAATTTTTAGTACAGACGGGGTTTCATCATATTGGCCAGGATGGTCTCAATCCGACCCCGTGATCCACCTGCCTTGGCCTCCCAAAGTGCTGGGATTACAGGCGCGAGTCACTGCGCCCGGCCTGATCAAAGCTTTCTGGATGGCCACGTCCACACTCCTTTGGGTCCCGGCACCACGGTCCTGGAGTAGCCATGGAGCTGAAGGAGGGGCGCCTCCGAGCTCTGAGGAACAACTGGCAGTAGGGACAATCAGAGTCCACTCCCGCCGTGTGTCTGACCCCGACAAGCAGGACCAGGCCAAGGGACCTGGTCCAGGAAACACAGCGTTCCTCCACCCCCACCACCCAACTCACACAGGGCCTGTCCTAATGACCATTCGCAAGGGAGGTGCCTGTTGGCCAAGGTGAGAGTCAGAAGCCTCCTGCCCCACCCAGCAGAGCCCTGGCTCCTGGGATGCCGGACTGGCATCCAGAGAGCCCTGTGTGACTGTCAGCCACCGACACGGGCCCACCCTCCTGAGGGCACGAGCAGGTGCACGCTGCCGCGTGGGGTGGCCTGAGTGTGGTGGGGGCCCCGTGTCACGTCTGTGCACAGAAAACCCTTCAACAGAAGCTCCCGCGTGACACTGGTGCTGGGACACGCCTGGCGCAACCCAGCGTCTCCACAGGAGCTGGGCTCCCATCTGGGTGGGAGCACCCGAGCCTGACTCACCTGCCAGGACAGAGCCAGCTTAGCGATCTCCTGGCCCGACATGCCCTCCGTCAGCTGAGTGATCTCTGAGCACTTCCTCCCGTAGTCAAACTGGGCCAGCTTCGGACGCCTGTGAAGGAGTTCCCAAGTGGGCCGGCCAGGGCAGCGGCTCCCACACCAGGAGGTGGGGGCTGGAACACAGGCAGCCGGGCCGTCACCCACGCTAGATGGCCCCTGGATGGGGGACCAGGTGAGGCGGGACACTTACTGCTTTCCTTCTGTGGCCGCCTTAAGAACGTAGTTGTCAAAATACATTCCCACCAGGCGCTCCCGCTCCTGCTGCCCCGGCAGGTCGAAATGAAGCATGAAGTCGATGCGGTTGCAGATGTCCCAGTAAAACTGCTCGGGGTGGCGGCTGGCCAGGACCAGCATGAATCTACGGAGTGGGGATGAGGATACTGGGGCTGCCGGCCGAGCTGCCCCCAGGGGAACAGGGGCTCCTCAGCCCCCTCAGGGAGACTTTCCAGGAGAATCTAAAGCGGCAGCTTGTGAGCACAGGAAACACCGGGAGGACGCGGCACAGCCCTGGTCACGGCCTGCCTGTCCCACCACGCCCAGCTGTCCCCCTGCCCGGCTACCTGGCCCTCTGTTCTCATCCCATGTGGCGCTTCCCCGCTGACACTTGCCCAGCCTGATAGGCAGCGCCGGGACCACCACTCCCTCCTGCTGCCTGAGCCGTGCCATGCTGGGAGCAGGGATGCGGGACCCAGAGTCCATGTCAGGAGTGGCCACGCCAGCCAGGAGCAGGACCTCGGGGGCCCAGGTGCAGCGGAGGCTCAGCAGGGGCCCAGCCCTGCCTCTCTGGGAAGAACCTGAGCCAGGGCTCCAGGGAGCGTCTACCGGCAGAAGCTGAGCCAGGGAGCCCAACACGCCTGAGGAGTCGGCCACGGCCAACTGGCAGGACTTGATCTTCCGTGTGACACGTGACCGGGGCTGGAGGGGCCCAGGAGACCAAGAAAACTCAACCTTAGGGGATTTGGGAGGGTCTAGGGAGCCTGGCCGTGGGGCGATCCCCATACTGGGGACCTCTGGGCAGCAGCTCACGGAGGACGCACAATGTGGGGAGGGCCCCAAGCCTGGAGGGTGCATCCCTGTCCAACAGTGGGGGCCAAGGCCCCAGGCTCTGCTCAGACACACAGGACCTGTTCGTGCCCAGCTTCCCGTGGGAGCAAACGTGTCTCCATCTCCCACCCCAGGGCACCCACACCCTCCAAGGGAGGCCCCAGCAGAGCCTCAGACCATCAGACCGCCTCCCTTGCAGGCACAGGACCGCGGAAACCCAGGGGCAGAGGGACCTGCAAGCTGGGGCGGCATCGCACCGGGCCGTGAGGACAGGACTGACTCCAGCTTTGCCCAGGAGGCCCCCACATGTTCCTCAATGACACTTCATGCTGTCCCGAGCTGGGCCGTTCCTAGGGGACATCCGAGGTGGGCACGTTGAGGCTACGGGTGCTGCCCTGCACTGTGATCCAGGGCCCCTGAGATCCCTCGGTGGGAACCAAGGGCGACGGCTGCAAAGCCCTACCCGGGAGCCCAGGACCCGAGGGGCCCCCTCACCTGTGGCTGAGCTGCCTCGTGTACTTTAGGAAGGCGTTCTCGGCGGCTCTGAGGTGGTAATTGCTCATCTTCTCCCGCAGAGAAGGTTCCAACCTTAGGCACCAGGAGCAAAGCCTTGTAAACAGCCACAGCAGAAGGTCCCACAGGCCTCCCTCCTGCAGGGAGCAGGGACGCGGCCACACTTTCATGGATCTAAACTCAAAAGCCTGACCAGGGCCAGGGACGGCGGCTCATGCACGTGACCCCGCATTTTGGGAGGCCGAGGCGGGCAGATCACCTGAGGTAGGGAGTTTGAGGCCATCCTGGCCAACATGGTGAGACCCCGTCTCTACTAAAAATACAAAAATCAGCCAGGCGCGGTGGCACACCTGTAGTCCCAGCTACGTGGGAGGCTGAAGCAGGAGAATCACTTCAACCTGGGAGGGAGAGGTTGTAGCGAGCTGAAATTGCACCACTGCACTCCAGCATGGGCGACAGAGTGAGACTCTGTCTCAAAAAAACAAACAAACAAACAAAGAAAACCAAAAAAATCCCTGACTCGGAATGGGGGCTCACGTCTGTAATCCCGGAACTTCACAATGTCAAGGCGGGAGCGTCTCTTATAGCTCAGAAGTTTGAGCCCAGCCTGGGTAACGAGGGGGAAAGTCCATCTCTACTAACATTACCAAAAAACGGCCGGGCACGGTGGCTCACGCCTGTAATCCCAGCACTTTGGGAGGCCGAGGTGGGAGGGTCACCTGAGGTTGGGAGATCCGGACTAGCCTGACCGACATGGAGAAGCCCCTTCTCTACTAAAAAAAATACAAAATGAGCCGGGCGTGGTGGTACATGACTGTAATCCCAGCTACTTGGGAGGCTGAGGCAGGAGAATTGCTTGGACCCAGGGGGAGGAGGTTGCGGTGAGCCAAGATTGCACCACTGCACTCCAGCCTGGGCAACAAGAGCAAAACTCCATCTCAAAGAAAAAAAAAAAAATTAGCCAGGCATGGCACTGTGCCCCTGCAGTCCTGGCTACATGGGCGGCTGAGGCAGGAGGACAGCTTGAGCTTGAAAGTTCGAGGCAACAGTGAGCTGTTTTTTTGAGAAGAAGCCTCGCTCTGTCCCAAGGCTGGACCCTCAAAAGAACAACCTTAACTTTAAGCTGACCAAAACAAAAAAAAAAAATGCTGTTTTTCACACAAAACTTAGAGAAAAAGGAATTGAGCAGCGGGCTGTGGCCTGGTCCAGGATGACGGACACACCCGCCCCCCCACTCCCGGGGTCAGACAGAGGCTTAGGGACACTCACAGTGGCTTGCTTCCAAAGGAAGGCGTCCGCGTCGTCCACGAAGAGCAGGAGGCTGTGAACGAGAGGGAGGCCAAGCACGGCGAGAGTGACACCCGGAGCGGCCCACAGCAGCGTCCGGCTGTGGCGGGAGCAGGCCGAGCGGGCAGATCCCCAAGGGGTGCAGCCTCTGCCCCTTAAGGAGCCCTGAGTCCTGGATCTGACAGAAGCCCATCAGCCTGG